AAAACTAGTTTAGAAAGGATTCTTGTCACATAGATACTTTGTGTTATCTAATGCCTTAAATTCCAGATTCCCTACTGCTCACTGTAACTAAATTGGAAATGTTTAACCACTTAAGGGTTTATTTGAATCTGGTGGATATGAGTTATTAAGTTGTTGCAAACATTATATTTTCCTGTTTTAGTCATCCCCTATGATTAAAGCATTTATTCCTCTGTTCTTTGATTGACTGCCACTGCTACAAACTCCACAGAGCCTTATGCTTTAACAGTCTTTAGAAAATTGCATCACTACAGTATACCTGAACCAATGATGAGCTGAAATATAAAGAAAAGGTTATCACCGATTTATAGAGACTGACATGAGTATTGCAATACTAATAAATAACTATCATTTCTCAGTCTCCTTTCTATTGCTTTGGCAAACCTTGAAGACACAAAAAGGCACTCAGGCTAGCAATTGCAAAAGTAGCTTTTTTCTGTGTCATTTATAGATTGCAAAAGTAATAGTCGCCCATTTAGAGATAGGCTTTAAAAATGATGGACTTAAAACTGTACTTTCCAGCTTTTTTCATATGTGCAAAATGGAATGCTCAAATGGTATCCTCTTTCTGTTGCATCTGTTAACTTTGTTATCAGATTAGTAATATGCAAGGAATACTAACTTGTCTAGATCCCCACAGGAGTAGACCAGATAATCTAGGCAGAAAAGGGACAGAGCACGGCATACATGCACAACCTTTAGTAAGGTTAATGACTTGCAGAGATTAAAATTTGTGTCTGTATATTTTTAGTCTTCATTTTAGAGGACAGTTGGGTCAAGAGGGAATTTTTTATTAAACAGGAAATAGAAAATTTTATACATAGGTGTAAATCAAATTTTAAGCTGATCATGCAGTTTGCATCTATGAATTACTTTCATTAGGTAACCCAGTTAACTAGCTATTTTTGCACGGGACAGTCCAGTTTAGGTATAGATACCAACAAGAATAATCTATATGCTAGATATTTCCTAGATAGGATAGGAAGAATTGTATAGAAGCTGAAGGGGGGAAATGTAAAGAAAAAGAGTGTTTAATACAAATCAACAGGGCTTACTGGGAACATGATGAGAAATTGTGTGCTCTCCAATCACCCTGATAGTTGTATGAGATGCGTAGGAATTTTAAATGCTAGCAGGGACAAGAACCAGAGTGGTCAAAGGGTAAGGACCAGATAAAAAGTAGTCCAGAGATTCTCCAGGCTGGAGCTTAAGCCTTGGGTCAAGAATTGATCCTTGGGTCAAGAACTGATCCTTGTGAAGAAGCCGTTTTAGGCTGAGGCAGAATTGGACAGCTCTAGACCGTAGGTAGCAGTGATGCTTGTAGCAGCAGTGGCAGATGGGCTGCTGGTGGCAGCATAGCAATTGGGCAGTGGCTGCTGTTTTTGTGCCCCCATAAGCCAGTGCCCAAGGCCGATGCCCTGGTTATCCCCCTTAGTTATGCCAGTGGTTTTAGAAATGCAATAAGTTATCCGTTCCAGAAAGCAGTGTAAAAGACAGGGATGATGAATCTTTGTTTATGCTGTAAGCAATGTCTGACAAGAAAGATTCAGACTCAGAACAAGGCTCATTATAAGCAGAGTGGAAACATGGTTTTGATTTGTTTGTTTTGCTTTTTAGGAAAAAAAAAAAAAGATTTCAAAAGCAAAAAGATCTCCAAGATCTCTGTGGGTAATCCACAAAGAGTTTGAACCATGCATGGGAAGCTTCGTGGAAGAAATCACAGGACCAGACTATGAAAAGCTGTGCAAATGAGTGATCATAACTGAAAACAATGGAGTTGCACAAAGGACACAGAATGTGACAAAAAGTACAATGTGGAAAAATAGACTTAGCATGTAAGTGTAGTTAAAGAAATCAAAATGTGCAGGATAAATGCAGCTAACACTAATAGAAACAGCAAATAAACCTCAAGGGTGAACTCTGACCCACAATTAATAGAAAAGAATGAAATTATCAAAATCTCACAAAAAGGTTAGAAGAGGTTTGATTTATGACAAAACTGAACATCAAAAATATCTGTGCCAGCAACAATTATTAAGAGGCTTGAGGTGCAGGCTTGCGAATTGAACATTTTCAATTTATCTAGCCCTTAAAATGCTTTTTGACTTCTTGGATTAGAGGCAGTTGGATACCAGCAGAAGTATAAATCAGGGCTTATTGGGTATTAGAAGAAAATCTACTTGAGCATTGCAAAAGGGTTTACAATTTGATAAATATTCCAGCTGAGTATTCATGGAAAGCTGTATCTTCTTCAAGTGCGTGCACAGCCTGTGAATTGATCATCTCAGCCTAATATTCTTCTTCAGGAGTTCTACTGATGTGTGAAGTGGTAAAGAGCTGATCAGAATCAAGTATTTTACATCAGATAAAAGTAGTATGTGATACTTAGATCAGAGACCCGATGCAGGAAGTTGTTAAGCAAAAGCAAAAAAAAAAAAACATATTCTATCCCCATTGTAGCATGGAAATGTATTCTGCCCAGGAAACGGGCAGCAGTCAGTGTGAGGATTTAGACGTCTGTGAAAGATTAATTTTTGCAATAGTTCAGTCAGTCACTGAGGAGCTTTCTGGTGGCAGGCCTGTTAAGTCAGTACACGTCTGGCAAGATCACTTCTGAGGGGAGGAGAGACCATATTGATATGGATTAATGTATGAGGCTGACATGTCATTTGAATTCCTTTTTCCTCCCCTGCCTTTATCTCCATAGCTCAGAGGACAGGCTGTAAAATATAGTAATTTTAGAAACAGATCTCTCTTTACACAGATGCAGGGAGGCTAGTCCAATCACTGTGAACCAGAAACACTAATATTTTGCCAGGATTCAAATCACTCGCGTGCTTTTTTGCCTTTTGTGAAGGCCTACAGCTGATGAACACAACTGATAGTTTGCAATTGTCACTGTAATGAAGTCTCAGCTACCTGAAGAGTTATGGAAAATCTTTATCCAAACTCTTCTACTGCCTGGTCTATGAAGCGTTTCCTTTGTAAAGAGTTAATTAGACTTTCTTATGAAGTATGAGGTGGAGATTTCTGTATAAGCAAATTACTGTCTTGTACAATAGCTGTTATTCTATGTATGCAGGTATGTTGTACAAACACAGCAGAAGATAGACAGCAAGATATCTATCTGTCATTATAATCAAGCCACTAGAGTATAACTTAATGGCCACCACATATAAAGGAATTCCATCTCCAGTGTTTCTCCCAGACTTGCTCCTCCTCTCATTATTTTATGTGCTACCCTTTGTTGTAGGGAATAAAACTTTCTACCTAGGTATTCTGATTTGTACCCACTTTGAAATATTTTAAACTAGGAATCCTAGACTTCCAGCCCTGTGTTCATGACTGGGAAATGAATAGGTAAATAGTTCCTGATACTACCATTATCACACTGGGCTTCTGGCACAAAAGCTGTGAAAAAATTGTTCAGCATTTCCCAGTACTCTCCAAACAAAGCCCTTGGGCTGCTTTAGGAAATGCAAAATACTTGCCCAACCTGTTCTTCAAAGGATGAGTAAAAGGAAGAGGAAAATCCATTCTCAGCTGTGGAGTATGTGCTTAGAGTCAAAACAACCAAAAAAGTGCTCAAATATTTACCTCCTAGATATGGTTAACCCTATATCAGGAAGGAGACAGGGCAGGATAGGACCTTACAGACTAATTCATTTAGCAATTAATAAGCTTTCATAGGCTACAGCCTACATCATACTAACCATACATACCTGCCTAATGCTATGCCATGTATAATGACAGATGAAAAAAAAAAAAAAAAAAAGGGCAGATGGTTGGAGCTAAATTAACTCTCTACACATACAAGTGAGCTCATCAGGTTCCCAATGGTCCAAGAGAGGAGCAATCAGTGCCACTGGGAACAGGTAAGTGGTCAGCAGATAGGAATTCTCCAGAAGGATATCTTTGGGTTGTATCCCCTCATAGAAGGGTACTTACTATACACAGTTGCTGCAAACTTACCAGATGTTACCAAGTTTACACTAAAATATAATTTTTACTATCACTTATCATATAGAGTTTCTAGACATTCCTCAATAAATCATACAATTTATTTACTGCAGCTCATCACCTCAAGTCTTTTGACACAATTTTTTTATCAAGTTAAACATATAAGCCTGATATATATAAGAAGAGATTTATAGGGAGGAGGAGTCAGAAATCAACTAAATCAACTTTAATCTGAAATTTGTGGTGTAATGATATCTACTACAGCACTCCAGGTTAGCAGCAAACATTTTGCTCAGTGCCTTCCTTTAGATGATTGTATACATATATCTTTCACAAAACTTCACTTTGATGTGTGCTTTTCCTGGATTATTTCACAATGTTTTTCTCACATTGCTAAATATTTCTACACACTCAGGGTATGACAATGTATCAACCTCTTGTTTGTTTTTTTTATTTCAGTTCTTTTAATTTAATTAATATTTAATTAAAAGAAGGTTATTTGACTCTCTTTATGGCATTATTTGATTATATATTTACACTTTCCTTTGTCTTGCTCTACAATAAAATACATTTAATCTTAGTTGGTTGATTTGCTGCCCTTATGGTATTCAACTGCTTCAAATATTTTAAGTCTTATTCCTGAGAAAACTATAACTTCAATTAAGTGGCAAAAGACACTTACATCAAAAAGCTTAAAAAAACTAAACTTCTCCCTCTTTTATATAACTCATAGTTAAATTCATCCTACATTACAAACTGTAATAGCATTTGTAAATGGAATATGGAATAACAACTGAACATGTTTTTATAAATATTTTCTTTGATATTGCTTGTACTACAATATTGGGCCTAATGTGTTAGCTTCAAGTAACAGAAATCACTATGTGGATTCACTAGGTAGTATCATAAGTCAAATATCATATGATCCAGTGTCAGGTGTCAGAAGTGCAAGATATCAAATGGAAGGTACTATGGTCAGTGTATGAAGAAACAGAGAGCCCTTCTAAATAATTATTTTAATCTTATCCATAACTTACAAATGATTCATCTCTTGTGAACACAGAATTCATGAAAAATTGAGCATCTAACCAGGAACATGATACTGAGTTGGTCTTCATTATACTGAGAACAAAACGTGCAGGACAGTAAGTTTCACTATGTAGGGAAATACAAATGCATTCTGAGCAATTATTAATTCTACAAGGAGGCCTGTCACCTCTTCATTAGTTAGGGAATTAAGTTCAGATTTCCCTTCTGGCACCATAATTTATTATAGATCCAGGTTGTAACTGAATTTCTCAGATAGTCTTTCTAATTGATTGCATCTGCAGAAGTTTTTTTTTCAAATTTTTAAAATATATTTTAAAGATGAAGCTCCTTCTGCAACAATGAATTAAACCCTGAAGAGCTCTAAAAATAATAATATTTAGAAAAAATGGAATGTAGATATTAATAACAAAACTCCACTAGTTTTCAAAGCCACAGCAGTGCAAGGTGTCACTACTTCAGAATCCAAGAGGAACTGAAATTTTGTAATGTTCCATCATCCAGAACAATATATTCCTCAAAAATTAATTGCACATTAGTTGCCTTCCCTGATTCTTGTTTTTCATTTCTTCCTCCAAGTTATACAGGGATGACCTCAGTCCTGTAAAGAAAGAAGTCAGTTATAAACTGGAGTAAGTGGGTATAATTCCCATGCAAGAACTTAACTATATTCAGCAGTGACATAAGCAATACTAATTGTCATCCACTGGGTATAAATTATAGCATAATGGATATAACCAGCATCAAATTTAGTCATACAAAAGTGCAACATATGCACCAGATTTTAATATGACCTCAGAACCAGGAAGATCTCATTCACAGTTTGTCCTGAGAATCTGATCTTGACTATTGAAGGCAATGGGAATCAAATTGGACAACAAGAAGGGAGAAAAATATAGGAGAAGCAAGTAAGATCTTTCCCTGCCAAAACTAAATGACACCCTTGTGAACTTCGAACTTCTGAAGGAGGGCAAAAAAAAAAAATCAACCTTTGTGTAAGTGAAACACCCAAATGATGTTACACCATTTTTTCTACTTGTTTACAAGGCATTTCAATATTATTAAGGAGTGCTGTCAGTTGTGGTCAGATACTACTGCATTGTGGTCAAAGTTCTCATTGGCTGGAGTTGGAGTGAGAAAATACTTGGTAATACAGTGTCCTCCCATTCTATCATCTGAAGCTTTTATTTAACTAACATTATGAGTCTGAATTCTATATTTGAAGAATATCTTCTAATGACAGTCTAAAGCTATAATATCCCTAGAATTTCTGAATATCCCTATTTTGTCTTAGGAGCTAGGGATATACATTACACATAAACCAGTTTAAGTGATCAGAAACTGGTTTAAACCTGTAACAGAACATATGTTCAGTGCACATAAACCAATCTGAAAAGAGATGAAACTGGTTTGAGATAAATCTGGTTGAATATAGTATCAGGCTTAACTGATTTGGATCAAACCAGTTTATGCAATGTTTGTCCCAGAAGCCTTCCTGGTTTAGGTTAAATCAGAGCCAGAATCCCAGTTATTTCTTAGGTCAAATTTATCTCTGGGTCTAGTTATATGAGCAAAGGAAGTGAGGCATGATTTGTTTAAAGCTAAACTAAAAATCAGTCAATTCACCAGCCCAAAACTCCACACAAGTCAGTCCCATGCATGCAGAGTTCTGAATCCCCTAAGGGATCAATCCCTTAACTTCTCTGGTAAAATGTATTGTGCCTCTATAGTCCTCTATCCTATCCACACTAGAATTAATTGTCATTTTCAAAACACTTTGGATTAATGTAAAAGAGTTTTGAGGTTATATATTTGTAATGATCAAGAGGTAGTTTTCTTGAATAGATACCTGCATAAAAAATATTCTTCAGCATGTCAGGAAAAGCTCATACTGATCATAAAGCAATTTGAAGACTAGTCTATATATGATCTACATTTGGATAGGAAGCAGTTTTCTTTTACTGAAAAATGTTTTTAAGCATCAAATTTATTCATGTTTATTTTTCCCCATAAGACTTGTTGGGGGAAAAAACATTTTTACAGCATCTACTTAATCTTTTCTTTTAGTTGACTTTCAAGATGTGCTTAATTGATCAAAAAGGCAAATTCCAAGTACCTTATATTAATAAGTACAAGGCATCATGCATTATTCAATAGGCTGACCTATATGCAAATAACAAAGCATAGAAATTTTAACATAAAAGTAATTTTTATTAGTCTTTTCCCCCTCTCATATCACAATTCAACACGTTAATTCTGAATCTACACATTTAGAACAGAGTACGTAAAGTAATATTTTGTTTCCTTGATTGTTTGCTTTGATTGATCCTGAGACAACATGGTCTAGTGCAGTGATTCTCCACCAAGGTGCCAGGGCGCCCTGGGGTGCAGCAAGATTCTTTCAATGGAGCTGCTGGAAGTGTGAGGAGATAAACAATGTGTGAAGAAATAAGCAGAAAAGGGTAGACTCAGGCTTTCCATGCCTGATGACCTCATCATCTCCACTGTCTAGCCCCTCTGGAAGGAGATAAGCACTATAACAAATTAACTAGTTTTTTTAAATGGGGTGCTACTCAATTCACAAAAATTGTGGAGTGGTGGCTTGAGTCTAACAAGGGGTGCCTTCATGCACATTGAATTTAGTCACACTTAAATGCTCATGTAGATGCTCCTTAAAGGTCCCGGTGTGCCATGACTTTTAAAAACCAGTGTGTGCAGTTTTTTTCCCCAATGTCACCTTACCATTATATGTATTAAGCCTTAAGCTCTAATTAAAACATACCACCCACCTTTGAGCATGTGTATAGGCAGCCAGTATCTATAAACCCTATCTTTATTATTTCATATTGGTATATGTTTTTAAAGGTTTATTTTATTTATAACTTTATATATGAATAAAATACGCCTTACCATTGGATAGGAAACAAAACCTGTAGCCTTGCTGCTGAGGGATGGTAATAATAAGATACTTGTAAAGAATGGAGAGGATTCAAGATTTAAACTGCCTCTAGAAACCTCTGGTCTATTTATTAATGCAGTGCCTGCACTGCAGTTCTCTAATGAGGAATAATAAATTTTGCAGACACTTCTATTTCCAACAAAAATCCCTAATGGAAAAGAAACAAATAGCAACACAATTCTGAATGCTGGCCTTTTGGTCAAGTGAACGCTATCACCTGTGTGCTGCTGTGAGGTTGTTACTTGTCTTTGGTATTCATTGAGAGAAACCACTCTTCTCCCAAAAGCCCAAATTGCTCACTCGTTCACTCTCAATCCCCAGTTGAAGAGCTTAGAGTCTATACTGAATATTGTCAGTAGTTCCTGCTCTTTTACCTTACAAGGGACATAAATCTAGGCCAACAAAGACCTTTTGCAGTTTCTTGCAAACAATAATTTATTATTTTTTCTCATTTTGATTAGGGTGTCAAGAATAATAATTGCACCATTTCATCATTTCTCCATGTATCTTATCAATTAGATATTAACTACACTATATCAAAACAAAAAAGTGGGGGAGGGGAGTTGGAATTTAGCAGGGTTTATGATCCAGTTATGTGGCATTAATTCACCATTCAAATCACCAACCGTCTAACATGAATAACACTAGTCATCTAACATTACTGTCTGCTATTTTGTCTTTGAGCACATTCTGTATAATGAAAATTTATACTTAGTTGTGAGTATACATTTTAAGGAGGATTGGTGTGCTAAAATTCATAGATTTATAACAGAAGTATTATAATTATAAGAAATATTATTTATCCCATAGGAACACTGATTTCACTTGCACAAGTTTACTGTTAAACTAGCATCATCAAATAGACTTCTGCTGTTGCAAAATGCTTGAGTGATTATAGGAAAACTTCAAGGGATTTCAAAGTTTGTTTTTCATTGGGACCCAAAACCCAGAAGCTTATTCAAGGTTGATCTGCAATATAGTGGGACACTTGAATTCATTCAACTTTTACCTGCATTCTCAGTTCTATTAGCATGCCGCATTCTCTTCCATATTTCTATAAAGGTATATCTGGAATATGTAATATGCAGATAAAGTGACAAAGAAAGAGTACCAGTGGGAAACAGAATAAGGTTGATCATTAGTATAGTAAGGAGCTGAGTAAGTCTGATTGGCCATTGGATGGTCAGTCTCCACAAATTGAAATAATTAAGAGAACTTTCAGGTGCTTTTTAAAACTGAACTCATAGAGTATTAATAGGTTATGCTTTCCTGTTAATTTAAGTTAAAAGCCAACTCTGGAACAGGGGTCGGCAATCTTTTTGGGCAGAATGCCAAAACACCAGCCTTGACTTGGAAGATGTTGGCATGCCAAGGGCAGACAGCAGGGGAGTCACAAGGGGCCTGACCCCTGATATGGCAGTGCAGCCTTGGGCCCTTCCTTGAGGCACACAGGCCAAGCAAAATGCCTTGCATGCCAAGCTCTGGCATGCATGCTTGGGGTTGCCTACCCTGCTTCAAAATGTTCCAGAGACTATCTGGGGCTAAAAGTGACTGAATTGTGTATCCATACAAGGCAGATCATGATACTCTTGTTTGACATTTTTTACTAATCTTTTCCAGTAAATGCATTGCTCCCCTTGTCAGCCCTTGTTTTTATAGACCACTAAATTCACAAAATTGACAGGTGGACTTGGCAATTATTTTATCCATCCTTAAGTAGGTTAGAAATTGCAATGAACAGAAACAAAAAAATGAAACAGCTGTTTGGCAAAGGCTTTTCTCTGGCAACCACAATTCAATTATTTTTAAGGCATATTGAGGACCGCTGTGTAAACCTTAACGCATTTGTATTCTAAACCTTATGGGCTCAGTATTCAGCTTATGCTGGTACAATTTTAGTGGAGCTGAGGGCAGTGAGAAGTGAAGGGAGCCATGTCTGTAAGCAATGTTTCTGCTCTCCTAATTCTGAGCTGATGTAATTTAGAGAAACCCAAGTGATTATTAAGAACTATTAAGATGTGCAATAATGAGTCTGTGCACCTTATGCTCCATACTGCCCCTCAAGCCTGTTATAGTCTCTTTGTAGGTTATGTGGGGAAAAACAGGTGGCCTAGAGTCAACTACAACAACTCTATGCCCTTCAGTGATTTTCACCGGGCAGATGAAAAGTCTGGATGCCTATCAGTGTCCAGGATTAAAAGTTAAAAGTTCACTTGAGCCTTCTGACCTATTGCAATAGATTTATTAAGGGAAGCCATTTTAGCTAACAGCACTTAAGTGTATGACTTGTCTGTCATTATATTCAGCTATATATGACCCTGCAGCCTAACTGACGAGGTGACCACTTACAGCTTTCAACAGAAGCCTACCACAGAGTTTGAAGTCAAGCCTCCAAAGCTATAGCAGGATGTCATAATTTCTGCCATCCCAGCACACCTAAGATTGAAAAGTGAGTTCTATTTTAATACTAGAAATGAAGCCTGTGAAGGGTTAACTCTAAAATGTAACTATGCTTTAAAGCCTAAATTAAAAAAACAACTTCAATAAATATACAGGAGACATTGTTAGACAAGATATGTGTACTATGACAAACTTAAAATTACCTTGGAGTGCTTTGGTACTTGCTTCATGTTGCTAGATTTCCATCCATTAGCAAAATGAGATAGGAAGGAAGTCTTATGTTCATCTAAAACACCTATTTCCTAATGTGGACAGCAGTGATTTAGTTCCATTAAAAGTAATGGAGTGAGACTGCCTGTGAAGACTGCACAGAACATTGGGCACTAGCAAATATTACCAATGTGGGTAATAGTAAACTTGCAGACTATTTTGGCTCATAGTTGAACAGAAGTTTGCATTAGATTAAAGATTTAAACTTTAAACATATTCACAGAAAACAGCATGAGAATCTGCTAATGTTTATTTGCAATCACTACACTTCCTAACAGAGCCCAACTTACATGTATGCAATGTTTCCTCTGTGTTTTATAGAGTGCATTTTAGACGCGATTCTAGCAGTGTAGACAACAGGCTTTCTGACGCACCACTGAAAAACTATAGGTTTAAGTTAGAACCACTTACATAAACCACTACTGTAAAGCAGTTGTTCTTTAAAGTTAATTTTAAAAGAAGGTCAAAGAGAGCGAGAGAGAGAGAGCGCTTGCAAGACTGACTACTTGTGCCAAGACCTTGAATTTTAGGTTTCACTTTGGTGTACTTTTTTTAGAAAAAAGTGGAATTTTTAAGTTAACAGATTGAAATAAAATAAAACAGGAATAGGAACATGAATCAGAGGAACAAAAAACTACAAAAACAGCATTAGGAAAGTGTGTCAATTTTGATTTTTATTCTGAGCACTTTAAAAAACCCCAAACCTTTCTGTCTCTAAGTGCCCATGGAAAATGAAAGACTTTTTACTGTGTATTGGCTTTAGCCAGCCACACTGTGCAAGGTTGCTCACAATGTTTTCATACGGTCATTGCCCTTCCTGCGGCACTCTATTCATCCCGTCAAAGGCCTCTACTAAACTGACACTTCCAATTTTGAAATTCTGCAGCATTTTACACAGGCGAGACAGGCTGGCAGACGAGTTAACAGTATACAACTAATTACAGTGAAACTGCTGATTCAGTGTTACCTACCAGTTCAACGTCCACCCAGAAGGCAGCCTATAATCATGATAGCACTGGAAATAAAAGTCTTCCTGAACTCACTGGGGACTACAGCTGGGAGAGATCCAGAGGCTACATGAATAAAAAAAAAAAATGGCAGGGTCCAGAGAACTTCCTAAGAGCTTTCCTCCTAGCTGGGGAGGAAAAAAAATCAGCCAGCAATCAGCTTGATAAATTAGCACTGAAACACAACTAGCTGAGCAGAGGGGTACTCTGTTGCTGTGAGGAAATCACTGGAGGTACAGTGGGATGTAGGGAAATGGCCTGAAGGCACGTCATAGACTAGGACTTTTCAGTACCTGCGAACTGTATTGTTGTAGTAGGAAATGTTGTCTTATCTTTCATTATAGTGTAAAATACTCTTGCTTCAGGTATTTTCATCCTTCTGTTCATGGTGGCCTCAAGGGGAAATAAAAAACCCAAACAATTCTCTTTAAATCATGTGCCATTAAGGGAAAGACATACACAGCTGGTGGAAGTATTTGCAAGGCTGCCTCATAGGATGTTGTAGACCAGTGTGTTCCAGGTATCAGAAGGAGGATGGTCCAAATGCCTAATCTCAGAGTTAGAAACTGGAGTTTAGTTTTCTGCCCTAGCACCGATAGAATCATAGAAACTATCTATCAAACATCATCCTCAACTAGATCATCCCATCCAAGGCTTTTTTCTAGCCGGGTCTTAAAAACCTCCAAGGATAGAGATCCTACAACCTCTCCGAATAGCCTGTTTCAGTGATTTACTACCCTCCTTGTGAGAATTTTTTCCCCCTAATATCTAACCTCAACTTTCCTTGCTGCAACTTGAAACCATCGCTCCCTGCTCTGTCATTTGCCACCACTGAGAACAGTTTACCTCCATCCCCTTTGGAACCACCGTTCACATAGTTAAAGGTTGCTATTAAACCCCCCTCAGTCTTCTCTTCTCCAGACTAAATAAATCCAGTTCCCACAGTCTCTCCTCATAAGTTATGTTCCCTAGCCCTCTGACCATTTTTGTTGCCCTCTGCTGGACTCTACTATTTGTCTGCATCCTTTCTATACTTTGGGGTCCAAAACTGGACACAGTACTTCAGATGGGGCTTCTCCAGTTCCAGGAAGAAATCACTCCCTTCAATCTTCTGAGAAATCTCCCTCAGCACTCCTAATGAAGCCCAGTATGCTGTTAGACTTCTTGGTAACAAGGGCACATTGCTAGCTTATATTCATCTTATTTCCCACTGTCACCCCCAGGTCCTTTTCTGCAGAGCTGGTGCTTAGGCAGGCAGTCCCCAGTCTATACCAGTGCTTGGGATTGTTCTGTCCTAAGTGCAGGACATTGCACTGGTCTTTCTTGAACCTCATGAGATTTCTTTTGATCCAATCCTCCAATTTGTCAAGGTGTCTCTGAATCCCAGCCCTACCCTCCAGTGAATATACAGCCTCTTGGATTAGTATTGTCAAAAAGCAGCAATCTTTTGTTCAATATTTACATGAGAGAAGGCATCAACCATCTCCCAAGGGTTTATCCTGGGTCCAATACTGTTTAATATATTGTGACTATTTCCCACTTTGCAGTATGTCAAACTGTTTTTGAGATCTAGTATCACCTGAGGGGAGAACAGGGGTGTGGAGTGCTAGAGCACATGGGAGTGCAGGAGGAGAAGTGACCATGGGAGGGAGGGTGAAACAGTTCTGTTGTCATTTGACAGTCCTTTTTTAAATCTCTGTGCCAGGCTTTCCTTTGAAAACAGGGCAAAAATCTTCTTTTGACCAAATCAATGGGGCACCAGGTTAAGTGTTTAAAAATGGACTGTTCCAGTGACAACAGAATGCATGGCTAAATTTGCAAATAGAATCAAGTGGGATGCAGATGCAGATGTTTTGAAGAAAAGGGTAAGGATTCAAAATGACATTGATAAACTGGAAAATGGTCCAAAACTAATCAAATTAAATTCAGTAAGGACAAATGCAAAGTTCTTCACTTAGGATGGAACAATTGGATGCACAACTATAAATTGGAGAATGAATGCTAAACTACAAGTTAAATACTAAACAATAGTATGGTATTATTACAAGAGAATTCAATAGCACACTTTGTTGTTTTACCAGAAGTGCCTCCTGCAAGTCAAGGGAAGTGATTCTTCTGCTCTAATCAGCAAAGGTCTAATCCCCAAACTGGAGAAGAGGAGGTTGAGGGGAGATATGATAACAGTCTTCAAATACAGCAAAGGTGATTATAAGGAAGAGGGTGATGTACTGTTCTCTGTGAACACAGAGAACAGGATAGGAAGTAACTATCTTAACAGTGCAACAGCGAACTTACATTAGGTATTAGGGGGTGCATCTACATGTGCAATTAATACAAAGCAATAAGCTCTGGCACATATCACACCAGTGTATTGCTCCTGGGCATGTTTACATGTGCACTGGGGACTGCAGCACATTGAGTCGGGTTAGAGCAGCCCCAGGTAGCAGAGGTTTCCTGGGGTCAACCTGCCAGGCTAGGGCTGCTCTGACTTGGCTCAGTGTGCTGTGTAGGGGCTTGCTGGGGCACAAAGGCTGTTTCAGTGTGGGGCTAGCTGACAGGCAGTCCCCGCAGTGAAGCACCCCCATGCCCCAGCCAGCCTCATCAGCACCTACATACAAGTTGCTGCACAGTAAATAACACAGTAATGCAGGGTAGTATTTGTATTTACAAGCACTAACCTATGGCAGTGCTTATTAGTTTACTGTAACTTAATAGGGCCACATGTGTAGACACAGAAATTTTACTGTGGGAACTAATTAAGCAGCTCTGCAGTAAATGTGTAAATGCCCCCAGGAAGATCTTTTTAACTATGAAGGTAATTAAAGAGAACATATTTCCTAGAGAATTTATAGAATCTCCATTACTGGATGTTTTCAAGAGTAGGTCAGACACATCCTTGGATGAGATGGTTTTTGACAGGGAAGACACTGCCTGAGCAGGAGATTGGATTAAATGATGTCTTGAGGTTTACTTTTAGGGGGACCTTGGATAAGTCAGTCTCTCTCTGTGCTTCACTTTCCTACCTGTAAAACAGAAATGATAGCATTTCCTTAAGTGGGTCTTTTGAGAATAACTACACTGAAGATTGGAGGTGCTCAAACACTATGGTAGTAGAGGATTTATAGGCACTTAAGATACATGAAGGTGAATAATGTATCCCAATGCCCGAAAGTGGAGGTGCTTACTTTATTTTACTTTTGACTTCATGCATTAAGCTTGCTAATACATCAGTCCATTTTGCCTTGGCCCTTTAATGCACCCCTTTTAAATGGCAAAATATATTAACATTGGAAATAATGCACAAAGGCCCACATTCAAAAAGAAATTTATGTGTGCTCATTGCTTTTTAGTCAGAATTTATATGCCTCTTCTCTGCTGTGCAATTCAGCAAAGTCCCACCTAAATGTTTATGTGCATGCAAAGTCTTGGGTATTTCAGCACAGAATTATGCATTTCAGAGCTTAGTTGATAATGGATCTAGGTATTGAAAAAAGGTACTTATATGCATGCTTAGTAAGCCTGCCATTTTGAATGAGATGCATGTGATAGCACCTTAATCCTGCATAAACCTGTTTGGGAATCTGTTGGCCCCTATATCCTTTGACAGACTCAACCTGTTAGGTATCTCTTTGGTACACTTGACAGAGAAGGTGGAGGACTCTAACAATTTTGTTCTAGAGACTTCTAACCCTAACAGGGTGCATCTACACATGCATTTGACCTGAGATCAGTTTACTTGCGAATAAACTACTCATGAGTAAATGCTCCCAGGCAGGCATCTACATATGCAGGGAACTGGGAACAGTTTGCAGCTCTAGGTTCCTCCTGGGAGTGAGCCCAGGGGCTGATGGGGAGCACTGGGCTAGGAGACAACTGTCTCCTGGCTGGGACTGGGACATTGCACCTTGTTCCTGGGGGAGGTGCCTGCTGCCAGGGTGGGGACAATGTCCCCCTGCCCTGGAAGCAGGGAGTCCCTGGCCCCAGCTCCCTAACTGGGGGCAGGGAATTTGGAAGGAGCTGCAGAGGAGCGATAGGTCTCCACCTCCTACCTTGATCTGCCAGTGAGACACCTAGATAGCTAACTGCTAACTGCCCCACTGGTGGATCAGGGCAGAGGGCTCAGTCCTGCCCCTGACCAGGACGGTTTCCAGCACCTGCTCCACAATCAGAGGACAGATTCTAGGGAGCCTGTCCTTCGCTCAGCTATGTGTGCATGGAGCTGAGTGGGAAACAGGTGGGAAAGCCTATTCCCTACTCAGGTCCATGAGAGTGGAGCTGGGCAGGGAACAGGCTGAGTAACTTGTTCCTCGCTCGGGTCTGTGATCATAGAGCTGGGTGGGGAACAGGCTGGGGAGCTCTGCAGCTCTGCAGGCTGGGAGATCAGGATCTCCCAGTGCTGGCCCTGTGACTGGAGCTGGTACTGGGAGAAAAGAGTCTCCCACCCTCCACTCTCTGCTCTCAATCTTGGAGCAGTGGGCTTGGAGCTCCCTGCTGATGGGGCAGGGGAACAGTCCTTATTCAGGCTCTGCTGGAGGAGCCTGCCCAGGCAGCAGGCAGCTCCCAGGGGCAGAAAGCAAACTCCTGCCCTTTGGTAGCCAGCTGACTGGGAGCAGATTTGCTTCCAATCAGGTGTCTACATGAGCATTTCTGTGCCATTAGTAATCACAAATAAATTTACTACCTGCATTTGCAGGTAGCAAATTTACTAATGTTTAGTGAGATTTACTGCACAGTAAGCATGTACAGATGCACATGCTTACTGTGCAATAAACTACACTACTTCACAGTAAAGTGTCTTGTGTAGGGGACTTATGCACCTACAGTTTGAACCCACATCTCTCACTTAGGGAGTCTTAGCCACTCAGAACATGGAATAGGCAGGGACCAAGATGCTAGTTTCACTCAGGGTGGATTATGGAATCCCAAAATGTATAAAAGTCACAGGTCTAGAAAGAGAGGAAGGAATAGAGAGCTTGCCTTTGCAAGTAACATGTCAGGAGCACTCCAGGCATGTGGGTGCTCTCTTTAAAGAGACAGATCCCTGGTTTCTGCCCCCAACCTTTTAAGGATAAAACATTTCGACAACATTAAGAAGTAGGAAGAAAACCTCAAGGGGAGAGCTGCGCTCACTAGGCCACAGGGCTATGTAATTTTTTTTTTTTTTGTTCTCTATTTGGTCCTATTAATAGTTGCTGAGAACCCCAGTTTCAAAAGCAGGAATGCAGCATGACTATGACCTGGTGATTAGAGCATGTTTCTGGGAAGTGGGAGATATAATATACAATTTACAACCCAGGTTTCTTACCACCTGGGCAAGTGTCCTAATCACTTGGTCACTGGGCTAAAGTAAGTGAGTTGTCCTTTGTTTGTGACTTGATAAGGCCATGAAATTAGTTTAGGTTTAGGCTGCAGTTTTTCCATTTGTCTCCTAGCTTAGCAGAAACCCTAATGTGGGGCTGAAGACAATGACATAAAAGCCTCCTCACTCCAAGATGGGGGTAGAGTTCTAGACACATGCTCCTATTCCACTTTTCCTGTTGGCTAGCCTATGTATCCCTCTGCATTGTGTGCTGTCTGCTACATTATATGCTGACTACAGAATGCATGCATTTGTCTACATTGGAGGTATAGAGGCCCAGGATGTTAAACTCTTTATTTCAAATTCTACCATTTAGTCCACCTAAATTTTGGGCATAACAATATACAGCATCATGGAGATGAAGAGCCTTAATAAATCAGGCCCAGATTGTATAGTCTATACTTTTTATTTGCAGGTTAACTCTCATGCTAGTTCTTTTATAAAGGAAAGGAAATATTTCCTAAAGATACTGATAAAAAATGCAAGGTATTATCAATGAAACTTAAAAAATGATCATGTTTCTCCTTGTGTTATATTCTATGTATTTGTTTTCCCTTGAGCAGACAGCAAGAAAAAGATGGATTTAAAACTTGATATGGAGTCATAAAGAATGGATAGGCTTTCAGACAGCCTGCCCAGGGGTGAAAATGTTTGCACCCCTACATTGCAAACATTTTGTAGTAAAGATCTGTGGACTTGTTCTGTAGTTCACTACTTTTACTGCACCAAGCATTCTTATGTCATTGTATAAATAAAAATTAATTAACAGAATAGAAATGAGAAGGGCCATCTCCAAACAAGTACTTTTAAAATAGATATCAGTGATTTTTTAACCTAGCTGCTCAAGGAGTCTAAACATAAAAAAAAAAAAGTATTACTGGCTTCTAGTGATACTGATAAAGGAACTGGCCCCTTACTTTGAGAGATCCTATGGTCTGATATAACATCTGAATAGCCCCACTATTAAAATTGGCATCTACTTTCCTTCCTAAAGGCTTCAAGGGTAATGTCATGCCAGTCCATAAACCAGCATAAGAAATTATATGTATATCAGTGGTTAAAACATCCCTCAAACACCTACAACTGCCTGCAGAGATATTTAAAAAAAGAAGAAAAGAGATAAGATATATGTTTCTATATATGAAAAGAAGCTTTGAACATGAAAGAGTTTCTTTCCTTCAGAAAAACCTTGTGTAAACAGGTAAGAGGCTTCATATCATGAGATAAGGAAAATGTGGGGTAAAAATCTAGCACAGGATGGAGCTATAATCTTTTTACAAATGGTGAAATATTTTTACATCAAATATGATAAATTAAAAAAAAAAGTTGCACATAAATTATAGCATTTGTAAATGGGAGACCAGAAGGTGGAGGTGGGGGGGAAGGAGTAGAAATAGCAGATCTCAGAAACTCCTCTACTTGCCAAAAATAAAGACAAAGCAAAACATACATATCAGGAAACTATTCATAGACCTGACTCCTAAACCCTGTACTCCAAAGACTCCTCTCCCAAGAGAACCATTAAACTGGGTTTTGTATACCAGTATGTCAAATAAGTGTTTCTATTAAAAAGCAGTCAAAACAGGAACATGAAACTGAATGGAAAACCATTTATCATTGTCCCACTGAAAGGCAGATAATCGGTTGCTATTTAGGAGACGTCAGGAAGCAAATAAAATAAACAAAATACCTGTTTTCCCTCCACACTCAGCTCAGATTTGGCTCTTAATGCACTGAAGTCTCTCTCATTTTTTAAGTCCTTACTACCTTGTGGTAAAAAGGAAGGAAAATTAGAAGTAGGTCTTGCTCAAAGACTAAAATGAATGTATAGGAGGATTTAAAGGGATGAAACTATTAACTTGTAAGAATATTCAAAAGCTTCATCTTCAGAGCATTTACAAACAAGGATAACCTCATATGAACAATCCCATTTTAGCCTCTATGGGTATGATCATGTACCACTATTTCTGGTGGGCAAATACAGTTATTTTTGTATCCCACAAGGTCCAAATACATTAGTCATTGACTAAGACCACTGATTCCATCAGTCATGAAGCCTTGTGGAAAGTACTGGCCACAATCAGATGACTGTAACCATTTTTTTGTAGAGGCATGAAGACAGATCTATTTGCCACCTGAACTGGGGTCAAGCAAGGATGTGTCATCCTCTGTTCTCCATTTTTTTGACAGTCATCTTCGTTCTCATTAATTACCACCTTCCTTCCAGAATTGACATTGACCAAACAGGTGGAGGGCTTTTCAGTTTGGGACATTTCATTCAAAGACCAAAAGATTCAAAACAACCATCCTTGATCTTTAATAAGTTGGTGACTTATGTCATCCTTGTTCACACTGAGCAAAACTTCCAGACTGCACTGGATCTCTTCAGAGAAGCCTACCAAATTTTGGGCCTCTCTCTTAACATCAAAAAGACTAAAGTGCTATATCAGCCTGCTCTGCGCCATGAATGTGATACCCCCTTCCCAAATTACCATTGAGAGAGAGACCATGGAGGTAAGTTGAGCTCTTCCTACTTGGATAGTTACCTCTCTCAGAGAGTGAACAATGATGCAGATATCCAACACAGAAGCCAATGCTCAGGTACCTCCATTGGGAAATTGTTTTGGTATGCCTTAATTGATTGTGATCTTTGGAAAGAAACCAAGATCCATGTCTACATTGAAGTTATTATTCCCACTCTTCTATATGGATGTAAAATGTGGGTGACCTGCTGTCATAAACCCAAGAGCCTGAAGAAATATGAGTTCCTCCAGAAAATCGTCCACGTCAAATGAGAAAAAATACAGTGCAAATGCCAGCATCCTTGCTGAAACCAATGTTACCAGCAATAAATTGGTGATCCTCAAGCACCAACTTCACTGGGCTGGACATTTTGTGTAGATTCCTGACTCTTGACTCCCAAAACAAGTTCTCTACTCCCAGCTTAGCTATGGACTGAGATCTCATGGTGGCCAGAGGAAGCTCTACAAGGACAAATTGAAGGCATCTCAAGAAAATGGATGCCAATATCCAGAGCTGGGGGTGAGCTGGCTGCTAACTGGCTCCATTGGTACTGCAACCTCAACCAAGCACCAGTTCATTCTGAGGTAAAGTGTCTTGCCCTCCAGGCAGAAATGAGAGTGTGGAGAAAGTTAAAAGAAAGGAATGTCAGCCTACTCCCCCTGTGGAAAGACATGCAACTACTGCAGATGGATCTTTGTCTTGAGGATTGCTTGAGGAGGGGTTTAAACTAAGTTCACCAGGGGAAGGAGACTTAAGCCCTGAGGTAAATGGGGAAGTGGGTGACCTGAACAAGGCACAAGCAGGAGGTAGCAACAGAGGAAGCCTCCTCATTCTTCCTGAGAAATTAGGGCAATCAGCTAGTTACCTCAGATGTCTACACCTGAATGGATGGAGCTTGGGAAACAAGAATTGGAAGTCCTTGCAAATCACAGACTTATAACATGATTTGAATAACAGAGACATGGTGGGACAGCTTGTATGACTGTAGTACTGACATGGGTGGGTATAATTGTTCAGCAAGGACAGGCAGGGGAAAAGAGGAGGAGTTACTCTATATGCAAAATAACTGTATGATTGCTCAAAGGTACAATATGAAACTGGAGACAGGCCTGTTGGAAGTCTGGGTTAGTGTCAGAGGAGAGAGCAACAAGGATGATCTCATAGTGGGTGTCTGCTATAGACCACCAGACCAAGAGTCTTGCATTTAGGGCAGAACAATCCCTTACACTGGTAGAGACTGAAGATTGACCAGCAAAGCAGCAGCTCTTTAGGAAATGACCTGGGAATTACAGTGGACAATAAGTTGAATGTAAGCCAACAATGTGCCCTTTTTGAGAAGAAGTCTAACAGCATACAGGGCTGCATTAGGTGAACTATTAGCAGCAGATTGAGGGAAGTGAGTATCCCCCTCTATTTGGCACTGGTGAGGCTACATTTGGAGTACTGTGTTCAGCTTTGGGCCCCTCACTGCAGAAAAGATGTGGTGGACAAATTGGAGAGTCCAGTGGCGGGTAATGAAAACGGTCACGGGACTGAGGCACATGACTTGTGAGAAGAGGCTGAGGGAACTGGGTTTATTTAGTCTGGAGAAGAGAAATTGGGGGTTGGGGGCTGGTTAATAGCAGCCTTTAACCACCTGAACAGTGGTTACAAAGAGGATTGTGCTCAGTGGTGGTCGATGACAGCATAAGGAGCAATAGTTTCAAGTTTTAGTAAGGGAAGTTGAGGTTATATATTAGGAAAAACTCTCTCACTAGGAGGGTAGTAAAGCACCGGAACAGGTTGTGGAATCTCCATCCTTATCGGTTTTTAAGACCTGGGTAGACGAAATCTTGGCTGGGATGATCTAGTTGGGGATGGCCCTGGTTTGAGGAGAGGGTTGGACTAGATGACCCCCTGAAGTCCCTTGCAACCTTAATGTTCTATGACTGGACTCTGAAGTCACCTCAAGACCCATCAATGAGCCATAGCAGAGGTCATCTTCAAATTGAGGGATTGCCGACAATATTTAGTGGTAGTGTTTTCAGGATCAAGCTGAGAGTTAGAAGCATCTGATGTTCTTAACCTGCTGCATCATAAGAGAAACTGTGTTGTAATATATTTTTATCCTCAGTTTTAATATTTGTATGTTTATTCATTTCCTTATACTTAAAAAAAAAAAAAGATAGAGACATGCCGCCAATATACTCTCTCTCGATCTCAATAACAGTGTGCATTTTTTGTAGATGGGGAAAAAAACCCTGGAGGATGTTTTCACACCCTAACACATAATTTTTAAAATCAGACATAATAAAGGAGGCTTCACTACTAAGTGAAGGCACGTATTGAGCAGATCTCTTTGAAAATATTTGGACCATGTTCCAGAAAATTGAACTGAGTATATTGATAGTTATAGCTCAAAGCTGAACTTTGTAGTGTTTCGGATGGGGTTGGAATAAGACAGACATAGGGTGAATTCTTTGTTTCATTGAAGCTAATTGCAAAACTCTCACTAACTTCAATGGAGCCAGGATTTTATCCCTGGTAGAGAAGTCCAGAAGCATTTTCTCCTGGGAAATTATTTTGCTAACTTGCACTGTTAGATACAATCTGGTACATTCCACAGAAAAAAATATTTCCTTTCAGGACTATTTTTATGATTCAGTAGAGGAATTCATTTCTGACAGGGATGATTTAACAATATCAAACACAGAGACATACCATTGTGCTGTGCCGGGAATTTATTTCAAACCTCTATTCTTTCTGCTAAATTATAATAATGATCTCTTGAGGGACCACACAGGAGCACATCAGATGTGCTATCACCTGTAGACTTATAGGAATGGTCCACGTTTCATCATCCCCATCAAAGCCTGGGAGGCACAAGGCCTGTGGTGTGTAGGCAGAGCGCTGCTATTTCATCAGTGCATCTGACCAGCTCTTCCAGTTGATATCAAAGAACAGATATCATCTCTAACACTTGGTTCTGATTTGCACTACTAGTCTCATCCAATCCTTTGAGTCAGGTGAGCATGCAGTAATAATAAGTAAGACCCTTAGCAATATAGTTTCTGGCTATGTACAAGATTTATCAAATCAGTAACCCTAGAACAACAAAATCCTTCTTATAGAAGGTTGAGCTTGAAGGGCAAAACTATTGAGATTCTCATCCTCTTTGCCAAAGAAATGCAAATTAAAAATAGTAAATGATTTAAACCCTGATTCAAAGTTTATTCAAAGCAGTGAAAAGACCCCATTAGCTTTAACGGTCATTGGATCACAGCCTTAGAGAATAAAATAAAGTGGTGATGTTTCATAAAGAAAATGAGACCTTGCAGATTTTAAAAGGCCTTTGCAAACAAAGAGAAAACTGAACCAATTATTAAATGATAAAACAATGATGGAAGTTAACTAGGTGAAACAAAGGAACTATTAAAAGTGGCAACAGAGCAAGCAGCCTTTTAACTTTTCAGCTCATAAACAACAAGCAGGATGAGCGATAGCAGAATGCACATCCCTCAGGCTTAGTTTTTTCACATCAAATCACTCAAGCTGTCTAGAATTTCTGTCAAGATTGATACACAAATAACATCCATTCTGATTTACTAAGTAAAATAAAATTCTCAGACCCTGTAACTAAAAGAAAATACTGGAGGAATTAGAAGACTTTCTTTGTTATACACGGTCACTTCAAAAGAATTAAAAAACCAAAAACATAATTAATTACTCCACTGAAAAACTATAAAAATACCAGGTCCACCTGGATAATTATTTAACATATTTAGAACAAACAGAACTTGCAATGTTGATATTCAAAGTGGTGTGATGCCAGAAAAATTAGCAAACAGCAATCATATCAGTAGTATATAAGGAAGGGAAAAACTTGGTGCATTGAATTTTGTACAAATCCATTTCTCTAAACAGACTATCAACATGACTCCTTCAGCCTATACCTACACCAGCCTGATATATTTATATTGAACTTTAAACACAAAGATGAGACTTTCAGAAAACTGAAATGATTGAAATAGACAGTAATTAAGTGAAATTAATGGAAAGTATTACTTTATTCCTTTCTGAAAAAAAATAGTCTCTAAGGTGCTACACTGACCTACCTTCTGTCAGATATCACTAAAGGATACAGACCTGAGCTAACTGTCACAGAGCTAGAGATAAGTTAATTATATGCTTATAATTTTCTCCCGCTGCAATAAGATTTTAGATCTGTCACAGAGCTAGAGATAAGTTAATTATATGCTTA